TGCAAAGAGAAGGAAAACTTGACACAAACCCTATACCAACCCCTCTGGCCAGCGTGATATAGTAGGCCAAAACCTCTTTTCTAAGCAGAGGCCTACGTCCAGCAGTGGGCTATTAAAGGCTGTTGATGTGATTTAACTTAATAATATTATTGTAGATAACAACAAATCACTAAAATCAAACATGTTGTATTTATCTGAGATAGTCAAACTGAATACAAGATAACTTATCTCGTATTGCAATCTTTAAAACAATACGTGTGATTACAAAGAAAAAACTTTTTTAAAGCCTCATATTGAATATATCAAAAGATGGAACTGTTAACACTTTATGGTAGTGTTACTTGGTCTGCTTTGTATTAAAGAGAAATATAAAACGAACGAAGTGAATCCCTGATTAACGTACTCAGGGACAGCTAAATGAACCTCTTGAAGGCAAGGTAAATGCAAAGTCAGACGCTGTCATTACACTAAATATGTAAAAAAGAAATATTTTTTAATTTGTTTTAAAAGAACACTCAAACTTAACATAATCAGTCCTTCTAAATCAGATTACGTAAATTTAAAAAGTTACATAAAATAAAATTTAGGTATTACGTGTACATTATAAATTTGATTGTTTTAATAGTAAATTCTAGTGCTATTATTTTTGCTAAACAAAGACTTCATGATCAGAACTCATTTTGTTACAACTGCAATAGCAAGTCTTGTAGAATTTAGCGAAAATTCCTATTAGTTTTAGTATCGAAATGCACGATTTACAGATTTTAAACAGCAAAAGGAAGCAATAGGTAAATATTCGAAATATTTACAGAATACATTAAACTATTTATTATCTTTTTTTGCGGTATCTAGTAGTAATTTAACTACGAAATGTGGCATTTTCTATTGATCAATCACGCCAGATCGGCTGAAGAGATATTCCAAAAAAAAAAACTTAGAGATACATTGTAGTCTGATATAGCATTAAAATTCAAAATGTACATACATATATATATATAAATATACATATGCAAATATATTTTGTTTATGTATGTGTATTTATCTATGTGTAATGTGAACAGATGTTTATTTGTGTATGAATGCTTTTCTTTATATTTTTAAATATTCACGTGATAATGCGTTACGTCTATGTAAACTATCCAACTTTTTAAATAACTAATATCCTATTAAGGTTGTCTGTAAGAGATCGCCGTGAGCGATAAGACCACCGATTGTTACGTCTAAATATTTGTAATGTCATTTGTGTTAACTGTAAACAATAAAAATAAATAATAAATAAAATTTAGCTGATAGTTCCATAACTCATCAGCTTTATTACTTAAATTAATGAATGTATGTTTTTTCGTATTTTATCCGCTGTTAGACCGTTCATTCTAAGGTTTATACTAAGGTAACAAAATATGCTCCCTTTTTCATCCAATACCCTCGTGGCTAAAATTATTTTGTTGCTACACAAGTGAGCTGCCAAAAATCGTTCCACAGTACCGACCCAGATACATTACCGCGACATAACAATGCAATTTAAGCTTTATCTTCTTAGAAATACGAAACAAATTGTCTTTAAAACTAATTCTCTTCAAGAAATGTCGACTTTACACATAAATTCCATAAAGTTTAATATCGAATAGACAAAGTATCTACTTCAAACAACCTTCCGCGAGACTACCGTTGTGACCTCGCTCTTGCCATGTTCAAGGTTCGATTCCTATTAACTGTGTGCAAACTAATTTCAGTTTTAGATTGCAAACAACATATTACATTATACTTGTGCGGATTTTCAGAGAAAACTGTATCGTGGTCATAACGGTTTGCAAATAATTGCCAACAACTAGCATTTCATTTGACATTTACTGTTATGTAAAAAAAAAAAATATAACCGAGCAATACCGGGACTCGTTTCAATAATAATGCATTAACCCTTTTTTTTTTTTTTTTTTTTTTTTTTTTTTTTTTTTTTTTTTTTTTTTTTTTTTTCGTGCGGAAATCCCCTCGGATACCACCTGTCGGTGGCATGTCGGACTCGAACCGACTAAAACCGCACGCCTTCGCCGGGTACTAATAGCCGGGGAACCAGGTATACCCTAGAAAGGAAGGCCCTGGTGCCCCGACATACCTCGGGTCATCTACAGACGAGTAGACGACCCCCGCCCCGTAATGCATTAACCCTAAAACAACAATATGCACAATCTAACAATCACAACTAAAAGCGTTTACAGTTTTTAGCCCCCGACGCGAATATATTTACATATTAGGCAGAAGTGTATTAAATGCCCACATTTGGTCAACTATAATTTTAGTCATATTTATAAACAAGCCAGGCCATGCCAAGCCAGCAACAGCCAAGGTCACTACACTAACCAACAGGGCCCGACAAATGTCCGATATTCCTTTGTCATATAATTTAGTTGAAAATATCGCACTTTGACTCACGGAAAGCATTTACTCGAATAATCAATGAATAAAACTACTTAGGCATTGTTTAAATAAACACCTAATAACTAACTTTTTCATGGTGCAATTAAAAAAAAAGTAATATAATAGTTATAAAGATAAACAAGGACATGAAAACGCTCTAGGTAGATTGCGTTGAGTACGATTGTACTAAGCTATCCTCACGTTCAAACGTTACACGTGTACCAAGAACATGTTTTAATTTACACCATTGATGTACAATTAACAGCGTAACTTCAAAAATATTGAGATTAACCATTGTTTTACACTTGAAACCGTTTGTATTGATGTATTTTAATTCTAATCGAGTATTAAATACCCAATTGGAATGGAAAAATTGGGAGTAGATAAGACTGAACGGATAGCGTAGTGGTTTAAGCAGTCACCTTGCCACGATCCCCACATGGTACAATACTTTGTGTGACAACAATTCAACAACTCAGAACAACAATTCACAAATTGTTGTTCTGAGTCTGGGTGTTCTTTGTGTCCTTTTCATGTGTGTCTGTAAAGCCCCCCCACGACACGAGATTTATTCATAGTGCGGAGCTGTCTTTTGTGAAAAAGAAAGAGAGAAAGGGAAGTGTAGGTGAAAGGGGAAGGTCATGGAAGGTAAACTATATTGGTTATATGAATGGATTAGGGATTGTAAGCATTAGCTTGAGGGTCACTTTTCGTTTGTCTTGAAGCCTAACTTTCGACCTTAAAGTCTAAAGCTCTAATAGTGCGTTCAAACAAACACTCTGATACCTTTATTATATGTATTAGTAGGTATAGATTTCCACAGCTTCGTTACATCACTATTCAGAACGGCGTCTGTCTCATCTATAGCTACTGCATTAATTTTAAGTAAGAGCGAGAAGGTTTAAGGAATATTAATCTATTGAAACATGACGTAATTTAAACGTAGCTCCCAGTTGGGCCACTTCATCCTCTTATGGAAACTTTGTTCATTACTAAAGCTATACTTCGAGGTCAATATTCAGTTTATGTACATAATTGTTGTACGTTATGCCTTTATTATTATTATTTTTTAATCCTGACTAAACTGTATTTGCGTGTTTGTTGATGCATTCTGTCTGTAACTACACAAGCAAATATCCTGAAAGTTTACGTAATCAGAGTACGTTAACTCAAAAAAAAAGGAGCTAGAGATAGCGAGTGAGGGTTAGATTGATTGACGAAATGTTATATATATTGGTAGCTTGCAAAAACTAGTCTAATTTGAAAATAGTAGGGCTACTATTTAAGATATCTAACAGTATCACTGTACACAATGTATTCGAAAGGTCTTGATAACAAATTAACGAATAATTTGAGCATTTTACTCCGTTAATGCGTACCGCAAACAATAGTCCAATAATACTGGCATATTTACACGTCTAGAAATAAACCACTCAGTGTTATCTAAAGGACACAGCGAAGAGAGGTCGTTGCGATGAAGAGAGAAAGAAAAAATATGTACATAGTTACATTTGAACTTTTTAATTGTTCATAAGTACCATAGGTAATCATTAGTTGAAGTGTCTGACTGATGAACTGATGGCATTACTAAATTGTTTTTCATTCCTATGGGTTATACGATCTTCCTATGGCCAAATGTTGTACATTGGCCCGTTAAAACTGCAGGGTATGCTTACTCCTAGTATGAGTGAACCGTTGATGAGGTGACGGTATGCTCTCAACGGTAAAAAACAGCTTTGCCACTCTCCCCCAACTACACTAAACAACATAAGGCAAAAGTCTTGAGTTAGACACCGAATTATTTAAAGGACGCACTACATATTTAGTCTTTACTTGTTACTAACCTCGCACAATAAAAAAAATGTTGATCGAATCAGAATAACTTGATAATATTACAAGTATACAAGCCCGTCGTGTTATGTACGGGGCTCTAATATCGGTCGCCAAGGTTAGGTTTCTCCCGCGGAAGCCGGCGTAAGCGCATGATCGCCATCGCTCGCCAAACATCGGAAAAGTTCGGCTGTACTCGACACAATGAGGAAATAAAACGTCTTGGAAAATATTTTCTAAGCAAATTTCACGTGTCTATTTTAAATTGTGTTCGGTCAAATGGCCTTCTAACCGGTTGATAAACTTATCTGTGATTGCATTCTTGTGCATTCATCACTTAATTTGATCGTGTTAGATAATCGCTGAACGTGCGATATATACATAATTATATACATACACTCGTGCTTTTATAATGTTAGTAATATTTTTAAAGAAAAGCATTGTTTATTTGTAAGAATAATATTTCACTCTTAGCTATGCAACATTAGTTGATAAATTATACATAGATCAAAGTTATTATTGCGTATGGATAGAGCAATATTTTTGTACTCTAGCTAGTTATAAATATTGATTTTTTTTTCTTTGAAATTATACGTCGCCAAAAAAATAGAACTTAAAATCTATCTGTAATGTTTTCCTATAACATAAATGACTGGTTGCTCACCACTTATCAAGATATTTTCTTGTATTGCTAGATAATGAATTGGTTTAAGTCTATAATATAAGATAAATAACTCTTTACATCCTTGTTCCAGGCTGTTGACTGGTGGTCAGTCGGAGTCCTCACCTACGAACTACTGACTGGAGCATCGCCGTTCACCGTTGAAGGAGAGAAAAACACACAGCAGGAGATCACAAAACGCATCGTGAGGTGCAGTTATCCTGTACCTCCAGATGTCAGTCCAGAAGTTCAAGACTTCATTAGAAAGTGAGTATCTCTGTTATAACTTTTTTATGAAGCAATTTGAAGTAACTAGTTTCGTCCCTATGGCTCGTAGACAAGTACATAAAATAGCATTAAACTTAAATAATTGGGCTTTGAATTGTTAACAGATTTTTTCAAATCAAACGGGTAGTTGTAGAAATAGACAGGCCTGTTGGTTAGTGACCCTGACTGCTTAATCGGAGGTCGTGGGTTCGTTTCCCACCCAGGACAAATATTGTGTGATGAGCACGGTGATTTGTCCTGTGTCTGGGTATAGTTTATCTAAAATATGTACCTATTTAAAAATATATAGGTATGTTTATCAGCAGTCTGGTTACCATAGTACAGACTCTGCCTAGTTTGGGATCAGACTTCCGTGTGTGAGATGTGTGTGATATATTAAAATTAGTCGCTTCAAACACAAATTCTTTAACTTTCTTTTTATTTTCTTCGGTCATCTTTTCACCAAGACACCTTCGGCATATTCAAACTGTAACGATGATAATTTTAAGTGACCATAACACACCGGAGCGGGTTTTCCCACCTACTAGCGCTGTAATCAAAGCCTTGATTCTGACAATATAATAGGTCATGAGTTCAAATCTATGTCCACTAATGTGAGATCATACTGCATTCAAATACATATATTATTTATAGATTTATAACAGGAAAATACTACGTATTGTTAATTTTGAAATTATTGCAAACAATAACTTTAGTTCTTGTTTCAACGATGCATGAGCCACAATGGTCGTTGACCTTTAGATATCTATTTTACAGTATTTGAGAGATTTATTTAGATAATTTTGTAAATATGAATATTGATTACATATCAGCAAAAGACTTCCATTGTATGTATATACATACTTACATATATTATCACTTTCTAAAGTCACATACCGTTATGTCAATGTTGGCAAATTAGCGAATTCAATCACGAATTAAATAACAAGCCATAAGTAATTCTGTGAACTTAACTACCAGAAATAAAAGATAACAAGATTGTTTTAGTATAATATTTTTATCAATTTATATCATAAGACTAATAAATAGTTATTCCGTTCACATCAACAGCCTTTAATAGTCCACTGCTGGACATAGGCCTCTCCTTAGAGAGAAGGTTTTGGCCTACTATACCACGCTGGCCAGGCGGGTTGGTATAGAGTTTGTGTCAAGTTTTCCTTCTTTTTGCAGTGCTGGTGTCCTGCGTTGTTTTGCGCCCTTAGTCGGCTCTTACGACACCCACGGGATGAATTGGGGTAGTGACATTCCGTATTCTTAATCCGTCACTACACGGACAGATTTTATTCCGTTCACCATCTATAAATTTGATCACTATTAACTACCTGTATGGTGACTGTATGAAGACTCATTTCCACAAGTGTTTTAATATTTTTGTTTCTTTTGCAGATTGTTGGTGAAGGACCCTCGCCGCAGGCTCGGAGGTGGCGAAGGCGACGCAGACGAGCTTAAGAGACACCCATTCTTCCAGGTTCGATACATGTTCTAGTACATCATTATTTTATCCATCCCGATTTTGTAGTTCTAACAGACACTTTTTGCCGCACTGAACTTTTTACCATTTGCCGTTCGCTGTCGAGCGAGTTGATATGAATTAAACTCGCACTGGGCCCTCGATTTACAGAATGGTATGTAACTCATATTCCTCTCAACAGGATCTCGACTGGGAGGCAGTTTCTCGGCGCGAGATTCGCGCGCCCTTTGCGCCTGCGCTGTCGCACGCGGCCGACACGTGTAACTTCGCTGATGAGTTTACGCGGATGCCGCCCACCGACTCACCCGCACAAGCTCCGAAGCACCATGACAAGCTCTTCCTTGGTAAGTACTTACATCATTTGTGAGGTCACAGTACAAATATACTAGTGTGCTTCTAAAGATCGAAATTTACTAGCAAATTAGGCTCGTCAAAATAGCTAGAAATGGAGTCGGTTCGCTTCCAAAGCAAAAAAAACACTGAACAGGTACGCTTTTCGTAATAAAAGTTCGGTCACAATTTCACTTTCGATCTCACAACTATCATAAAAGGTATTTTCGTAGTAAAATAGTAAAGTATTAATAAGACTAGCAGACTACAGATTCAATTTTCGGTTACAATACAATATAATCCCATTACAGCCAACGTTGAATGTTTAATACTTTACTAAATTGGAATTTCGGAACTAAATTGTGACCGAACTTTTATTTCGAGAATTGGCCTTCTGATCGTCGACACATACCTGGTGGTTGGAATTTCGATCTTTATGCATCAAATTTAGAATGTTTTATTCAGGGGAGCAGTATAGCATGAACTGTAAATTGTAGACTTACCCTACCGCGATTGGACAACATATATACTGTGTGTTGTCCAATCGCGGTTCTGAAAACCATGACATATGTACTTGATGCTTCGCTTCATCTGTTATCATTTAGAAAAATATTGCTCTTTTGAAAAAAAGGAGAATATTTATTCTTTTTTTTTTAAATACCGTACGAAACTGAGGCTCTAAAACTCTAAGAAAAGATAAACGAGAGTCTTTCCCTTTTCGAGCCTTTTTGTATTTTTTTTATGAAGTTGGTTCTATAAACCAATGTCATTCTTGTAACTTATCGTTCTTTTTTCAAACTCACCATTTTTATGCAAGTATAAAAGAACCTCTTTTATGAACTTCATAATTATTTTGTATTTTTTTTTATAGCATCAGCGAATTATATTTTTTAACCCCTTACTTGCATTCACTTCCTTAACTTAACGTATTAATTATTTCAAGTCTTTAGTAACTAGTCTGGTCTTAGTATTTACTAACTTAGATACAAATAGATTTTTGCCTCCTCTTAGTTCTAGAATTAGCATGAACATGTAGTCGCTCGTAGTTAGAACTAACAAGATATGTTCTCATACTTTTATGTCCCATAAGGTGGCAAAATATCACACAGGGAACCAGCCTATGAAGGAAGTCCTCCTTCTCTGATGGCCCATGAGCCTCAGTTTCGAAGGACTGAAGACACGAAGGTAGTCATCTCATGAACTTCCAATGTTTAATTTACAGATGTTAACTTCTTTGCAGGCTACTCTTACGTGGCTCCCAGCATCCTGTTCTCTGAGAACGTCATATCAGATCAGATTTGGATGCAAGCCGCGGGACAGAAACCTGACAAGCTCAAAGGATGGGTGGCTAAAGTAATTATCAACTTTATATTTTCATTATTTTTAAATTATCGGTTTAAATGTTACAAAAAATTGCTTTAACTATATTATTAAATTTTAATGAACTTGTTGTGAACAACAGCACAACAGAGAGTAATGGTTAGTCGTCAATAAAAAAATTAAAGAAAAAAAGCCAATGAAATTTAAAAAAAAATCCTTTAACTGTAGCTTTAAATAAAGCATTTATTGTCTCATGCTATTTTATGATTCGTCTTTATAAACTAATTTTGTAATATTTGTTCTCAGGACTCTCCTTTTTTCCAAAAGTATTCAGTTGAATTAAGCACTCCGCTGCTAGGAGATGGTTCCTACTCTGTATGCAGGAAATGCATACATCGGCAGACTGGCAAAGAATATGCTGTTAAGGTAAATATTTATATGATATTCTTCTCTTAGCAAAAAATAGATCTGTTAAAAATTCATTCATTCTATGATCTTGTTTACGGTAGATTTTTTTTTTCAATTCTCTGCCTAGTTTGGGATGAGATGAGCTTGGGATGTTATTATAAAATAGCCACCGCTTAAGTTTTTCTTTTTATTGGCGGGCTGACTGTGTTACCCGCTTGTCACTCATTCTCTCTTGACAGCCCCGGATATAACTGTTTTTTGTTCCTAATAAACAAAATAAAAATCCAGGGGGGGGGGGGGTTAAGCCGGGCACCCGTTCGGTCGGCAGTTTTAGGGGGCGTCAAAATCATAATATAGTATGATTATGAATAAAAAACTTGCTCCACAAAGTGCCTAGCAAACGGAAGCCTGTTTGGCTTATCGTCGACTTGCAAGAAAAAGGCGCCACACAGACTCACAAGTGAACTTATATATTTGTGAGTTTTTTAAGTAATTTATCTCCAACGCTGGAGAACTATCAAGTTTCTGCTCCGGTTCGAAAAATCTTAAATCCGGTGCTGTCTCTTGATCTCCACCAACAAAAATACTAGCTACTAACAATTAATTTTACCTTAAAAGAATAAACCTATAACATATTTTTGTTTCATTGTTTAACAGATAATATCGACACAGAAAAAAGACATAAAACAAGAAATAGAGTTGTTAAAGGCATGTCAAGGATGCCCCTATATAATTACTCTTCACGAAGTGTTTCACGATTCCGTAAGTATTTATTTGTAAATAAAACTTGAAAAAATAATACTGACTACATAATTTAAAAAATTGTTTTCTGAAGATAGCTTGAAATGGAATTAAACGTTTTGTTGCCAAATCATAAACAATAGTCCTGATTGCACGGATGGCGTAGCGCTTTAAGTTTTTAGTCATCTTGCTGCTTCCTGTTGTGCAGTGTGTGTGGGTTCGATCACCACATGGACAACATATTGTGTAATCCACAAATTGTTGTTCTGAGTCTGGGTGTTCGTTTACAATACTACAATACATTCCATTACAATACTAGAATACATTCTTGGCCCGGTTTTTTTTTAAATAAAAGAAAGTGTTATTTAACCTATTATGTTATTACTAATAACGGGTGAAACAATGAGCAGAGGACCTAGTGTTAGAGTTATTTCATATCAAATCCATTTCGACGGCGTTACTATTGGTAAAGAACATGGTCACTGTAACGATCGAGTCAATGTGAAATAAAGTCCCATCAGGCCCTCCGCTGAGCGATAAGGTTATAACGCTAGTTACTTCCGCAGGCGTTCACGTACATCGTGACGGAGCTGGCGGCGGGCGGCGAGCTGTCGGCGCAGCTGGGCGAGCGCGCGCTGGACGAGCGCGTGGCGCGCCGCCTGCTGGCGCAGCTCTGCGTGGCGCTGCGACACATGCACGAGCGCCGCGTCGTGCACAGAGACCTCAAGCCCGAGGTGAGCCCCCACGCCGCCACGACACGTTTGCTCATTTACCCCCGCCATATAAGGGGTGAATGAACATTTTTTTATGGTATAGAGCAGAAATTCCCAAACTATTTTAGGCAAGAGACCCCCATTCCCAAAATGAACTGATACCTCAGACCCCCATAGCCGAATTACTTTAAACTAACTAACTAACTTCCTATTTCTACTTTTTTTACTACTGATACAAAATACTTACAAATTGAAAAACTTTGCCGTTGATTAAGTGAGTAAACTTGACATTATTTTCTCATCAACATTTAACAAAATAAATAGACACATAACACTTCAGTCAGTCAGTCAGTCTTATAACAAGTTGGTTCACGTAACACGACTTATACAGTATCTTGAAAGATTCCAATAAGAACTTGTTTTAATTAATAGGAGTCGATTTTTAGACCTCGTCTTCCCCCATAATCAGTTTTCGTTTACCACGACCCCTGGGAAATCGATTTCGACACCGAGGGGTCGATATCGACCACTTTGGGAATCCTTGGTATAGAGGTATACCATAAAAAAAAGTTAAATTAATGGTATCAGATAAATACCGACTGTCCCCACCGGTAAATATACATGAGTTTTTAAATAAGAATACTAAAAAGTTTGTTTCAATTCGTTTTGTTTTAGGTTAGAGCAAAACCTGTGAATCGAATATTATTAAATAAAATCCAGTGAGGTTCTATATGAAACTTAACTTTCAAAGTTTTTCAGCATTAATAATACTAGTGTCACCACTTCTATTCATCCGGTGGGTGTCTTAAGATCTGACTAAGGGAGCAAACTACGCAGGACAACAGCACTGCAAAGAGAACGAAAAACTTGACACAAACCCTATAGCAACCCGTCTGGCAAGCGTGGTATAGCAGACCAAAATCTTTCTAAGGAGAGGCCTATGTCCAGCAGTGAACTATGAAAGGCTTTTGATGATGATGATAAAACTTCGTTACCTTTTTTTTGTCAACTTAGATAACTTCAGGTTCAGTAATCGTATGAATATTAATCCTAATGTAGCTAATATATTTTAATTTTCTTCACAGAACATTCTGCTCACGAGCCATCGCCTTAGCGAGGCGAAAGTCAAAGTAGTGGATTTCGGATTCGCGCGCCGAGCCCCCGACTGCTGCGAAGAACGGCCTCGAATGATGACTCCTTGCTTCAGGTATGTTTTGTTCTTCTTTAAAGACCCCTTGTAAACCAGTTGAATTCTTTTTTTGTCAGAATTCGAGGACCGATGACAATACACTAATTTAAAAAAAATATATAGTTTATAAAAAACTAAAAAATACGCTTTCTATAGAAAACCAAACTAAAAAATAGAAAATAAATTTGACAAAAAGCGTTGGGTGCCTGTTGTCAATAGTAAAGAGTTTTTTAAGTGTCTTAACTATGTTTTAGAAGTAAAACACTTGCGTCTCATATCCATACTAAATATTATAAATGCGAAAGTGTGCCTGTATGTCTGTCACCTCTTCACGCTTAAACCGCTAAACCGATTTAGAAAAATTTTTGTATAGAGATAGTTTGAGTCCCGAGAAAGGAGATAGGGGAGTTTTTTTTATCTCAGAAATCATTATTTGAGGGGTGAAAATGGGGTGGTAATTTGTATATTTGTTTGTATATAACCGCTTAAGCGATTCAGATGAAATTTGGTATGGACATAGTTTGATTCTTGATAAAGACATGAGCTTTTTACCGCGATAAAAGACAAACACGTGACCGTAGCCACGGGCATAAGCTAGTAACAAATCTAATACCTTTAAACGAGCAATTCTTGTATTAATATTTTTTTTTTTCTGAATCTCGGAAATGGCTTCAACGATTTTCATGAAATTAGCATGCAGGGAATTTCACGGGGCGATTAATCGATTTACCAAGTTTTAATTTTATGAAAATTTACTAAACAACAAAAACCTTGTCATCCAGGTACTATGTATTTAACGACCGAACAGTGCTATTTTTGAAAGAGGTTATAACCTAATAAAAGCAGTAGAGCTCAGGAAACAATGTGAACAAATTGTTTTACAAAGTTTACCAAAACAAATATCGTAAATCTATAACAAATAAAATTAGCACGTAAGATCTATTACCTATACTTAGCAACTTTATGTAATTAAAAACTGAATATTACTGATTTACTTTAAATGTATTGTCTGTGCTGCTAACAAAACTTCACAATGGTGCTAATTCTGTTTTTAAAACTCTCTAAACTAAACTAAACTAAAAATCACTAAAAACTGTCAATGTAAAATGTCCGTGTGGTGACGGATTAAGAATACAAACTGTCACCACCCCAATTCATCCCGTGGGTGTCGTAAGCTCCGACTAAGGGAGCAAACTAAGCAGGACAACAGCACTGCAAAGAAGGAAAACTTGAAACAAACCCTATACCAACCCGTCTGGCCAGCGTGGTATAGTAGGCCAAAACCTCCTTTCTAAGGAGAGGCCTATGTCCAGCAGTGGACTAGTATAGGCTGTTGATGACTAAAAATTAGTTTAGTCCGTAAACGTAGTATTTTACAGAACTAGAAAAACATCTTCAGTGATATTTAGTTTAGTTTAGAGAGTTTTCGAACAACAGAATTAGTATCGATGATTGATTAGTTAAAGAAAAACTGAGTCGAGTAGTTAATTAAGACAAACCGACATTTTCACTTGTATTATCAGTAAGGAAGTGTCTAAATGTGGTCTCCCTCTCCAGTCTCCCGTACGCGGCTCCCGAGGTGGTGTCGCGCGCGCGCAGTGCGGCGGCGCCGGGCTACGGCCCGCAGTGCGACCTGTGGAGCCTCGGCGTTGTCTACGTATGTATACCATTCTATTTTCACTATTTTTGCACTAAAATATCGTTTATTTCTTACCTTTAGACACATATTTGTAATTGTTATTTTAGTATTCATATCAATAGTTACTTGTAAACTACCAAAGTACTAATCATCAACGGCTAAAATATATTTTTTTGTTTCCAGTACTACATGTTATCCGGTAAAGCACCCTTCCAGCCTACATCAAAAAAGGAACCGATAACGGTATTCATGGACAGGATTAGAACAGGCTACTTCACTATGGAAGGTCAGTACACCAACACAAGATTAGAATAAAGATCTGAGGGCCCAGTATACTGTGAGTTCATTTCACATGGACTCGATGGTCACGGCGTTGTGATTGTTGTTTGTCAGTACAAGAACCCATCGCAACACCAAACACGGTCACCGTAACGAACGAATAGATGTCAAATTAATAATAAAATTAATAATATTTCGGATATCGGACACACAACGCCATCTATTTGACGACCGGATGGCGTAGTGGTTTGTGTAACTGACTGCTAATTCATAGTCGCGGGTTCAGTTCCCGCTCAAGTCAAACATTTGTGTTCATTAACATTTAATATTTGATTTGGTCTGGGCGTTTCTATGTATGTATAATATATATGTATTTACAAAAAAAAAGTATTAAGTAGTGTTATTTATATCCGTTGTGTGAATGTGGTAAACAAAAAAAACTAGTTTCAATCTAAGTAGAGCTTGCACTATGAACACTAGATTAAACTGATAGAATACTTATATACCTTCTTTTTTTGTAAATACTTTCATATTATTTAAAAATACCCAAACTCCGAAACAAATATTTGCAGATCATACGAATATTTGGAATCGAACCCGAGACTTCAGCGCAGCAGTCGCATACTGCACCACCGAGACAGTCGTCGAAATATACTCACACTAGGCCCACTGATAGTATTATTTGTAATTCTACTTGTTAACACGCTGCTATAAATGTTGTATTATTGTTGTAGGTCCAATCTGGGACACCATATCAACGGAAAGCAAGCGCATAGTGCACGGGCTGCTGGCCGTGGACCCGCTGCGCCGCTTCGGCACCGACGAACTCATCGCCGCCCTGCGCGTCAACATGGACGAGGTCACCAGCTTTAGACTGGCTGTAAGTATCTCAGCCGTTTCTCTGTGTTCCCCGACTTAAGCCAATTCACCTTTTTGTCTATGAAATTAATATCTTTGTTACCTATGATACCTATACAAATTTACATGCGACCCACATCTTGTCCTTTTAATTTTGCTCCAGTAAAGTCTCAAGTTTTTTTTTTGAGACGAGACTTCTTAAAACTAATTGTAAATATTTATCTCTCAACAGGACATGACCAAAGCCGACCTCTACAAACGCAGATACAAAAACAAACAGCGTAAGTCGAGTACATCCGAACCTGGCACCTCCACTTCTGAGGTAATAGAACCAGAAGAAATTAAAGACATCTCGCTATTAGAAACGATAAATAACCTTAAGAACCGAATGAACAAAAACTCGATAGAGAATGACGTGGAACTTATTAAAGCCAACACTGTCGACACACCAATAGCAGAATCGCCAGAACCGGCTTACACAGAAGAGGATGACGAAATACCTCCCATAAAACCCGTAGAAAGAACTTACGCTAAACTTAGATCCAAATTAGACGACTTTGCGTACCTAGAAAGTAGTCAAGCCTTAGAAGGTACTAAAGTTCCGTACCCAAAAACTAGTCGGGCCAAAAAATCCAAGTCACCTGTGCCAAGGAAACGCAGAAAAGTAGAACCGAGGCAAACTAAGAAGGAAGCTAACGGAGAAAGAGAACTGCGTAGTAAAGTAGAGAATGATAATAGAGGAAAACAGACTGAGGCAGTCGTGAAACGCGTACTTAGAAGCAAAAGCGTGACTGAAAAAACTAGGGCGACTAAGGAATCTATAGAGAATGAGAAGACATCGGTGACTAGGGTCACCAGAAAGAGGAAATTTGAGGAGACCACTAAACCTGTTCTCAGAGAAAAGGTGCAGAACGGTCGATCCTCAGGGAAAAACAGCACCGAGCAAGAACCTACTGAACGTAAGATAGTGAGAGCTAAAAAGACCAAGATCGCTCCTCTCAAACTGGAAGTTGAGGACGTCCAAAACGTCAGGATGACCAGGTCTAGGAGGAGGCGGTTGGAGATCAGTCTCTCCCCGTCCGAGGTCAAGACCGTCGTACCCGCCTTCTCGTTCGAGTCGGATCGCCGGGTCAATTCGATGGAGAGCACCCGCTCGGCGAAGTCAAACGCGAATACCAAAGCTAAGCGCAAAGCCAAAGCGAAACCGACTGTGAAAGTCAGTAAAGCCAAGAAGAGCCAGGTCCGGAGTACCCGCGCACGCGCCAACCGCAGGTGAAACGCTCGCCCTCTCCCCATCCTCCCCATACACTCAGTAGACTGTTGCGCCTCGCGGCAACTATGATATAGGTTTAAATCTCCCCATAATGGCGTCAGCTAACCTCACTTTCCAAATGAGACAAAATAGTGATGCAGTAAGATTATAGACGCTTTGCTCACGCGTAGTATAAAACGAGAAAAGAAGAAATTATTTATTCGTCGATAAAAGTAAGTTATTTCTTCGCCTTTTCATAGTAGTTAGCCGATCGTAGTTCGTCAACGGAAAATAACATTAGACCTGTTTTTTATTTTTTAATCCTTTTATTTAATGTTACTATTAATTTTTAAGATACTTTTTCCTTATTACCAATAGAAGTAATTTAAAGTTCGTTATTATGTATTTTTTGATTAGAATAATAAAATAAATAAATTAAAGCTTAGGTAAATTCGTGTGATTGAACACTTTTCTAGAGTAAAATTATTTTGTGAATTATAATTTATTCATCTATAGAGCTGAGGTAATGTTCTGTTATGATGTGTTCATATACGCGTGTAGAGACGGTCTGTCTATGCAAAATGGGATACCGTGTTTCGACGTCACACATACAAGTAAACGTCAAGTGACATTTGTCAAAAACGCCAGTATGATCAAGTCATAAAAGGAAATGTTCCATTGTGAATCGCTCAGTTTCATTTTGCGAAGCCACTAATATCCGTAAGAGATCTCTTTCGATAAATGATAAAAGATTTTTTTTCGTTTGTGTGTGTGTATATTTGTTTGACTAGAATAATAGGTTAAATTTGTAAATGTTCCCTTCGATATAATAGAAGTTTGTATTACTATTATTTCTTCCACTTGGCAAAAAAAACGTAAAAAAAATATATATATATATATCTAAATATGTATGGTGAAAGTGCCAAAGCATGATTGAAATATTCCTGCTTCTAAACATTGAGAGTTTTTAAAATTATTTCTTATATTTAATTTCACATGTTTCTGTAAGTATTTTATTATACACGGGTTGTTTAATTAGTAAAATAAGATCTGCTTACAATCCTATAATTCACTTCTATGATCTTAAAATCACTATCATCTGTTAGCTAAACTACATTGGTATGACATCAACTTAAATTTTACAATATTAGTTTCATAAACGGAACTCGCAAATCATTTTTAAAGTCTATGAACGTTATGAAACATAATTTATAAAAAAAGCAATAATAATAGATTTTATATTAAATATATGTTTTGCAAAATTGTTGACGCACTGTGTTCAAATGTTTATTCAACCTTTTCCATCCACATTGGGCCCTACAAGTAATAATTAGCCTATACATATATGTTTCCGAGATCTTATTTTTAAACAACCGGTCTATAAGCACATCCTCTTATCGTTGTAAGCGCTTTTACCAAATAAAAAAAAAAATGTTGTTTTCGATTCGTTTCCTTGTAAATATACAACAATAGTATTTAGTACAAAATCGGTGGAAAGGGGTTGGAAAAAAAATTATTTATAATGATTGAAGATTAGTATCAATTTTCATGTTACTCTATATTGAAATCGTGATACCTTAGGCACATAATAAATGAATAACATTGTTAGTGTATAAAGTTAAATTTTAAGTTGATATTGTCATTGTTGAAGAATTTAGGTACAATGAATTGTAAACTGTTTGAAAAGAAACATTATGCATGCTTTTTTAATAAATAAAATTAAAGTTGTATTTCCGTAAAATATCAAATTATATTATAAATGCATTATCCATTCGGCTGTTTGCTTCAAATCAGTAACGCTTCCATTATTGAAGAAAAGACACAACACATGTTTCTATTTCGTTCAAGCTTTGTGTGCAGTTCGGGTGATTCCGTTATCTACGGAAATTCACGATGTTATAACATATACCAGGGATAAAAATTACAAAACTGGTATACATAATTTGTTATATATTTATATATATAGATGAATTATAAAACAAAATTAGACAATTATATATTTCTCTCTCAAACAGAATCGTAAGTACTTTTCACAATTTTTTACCTCAAACAAAATAATTTCGAATGTTATTCTGAAACTAATATCAAATTAACAAGAATTGTGAAAGTATTTCAATCATAAAGTGCATTATATATGTATATACATTGTTAAATAAATACATAAACCATGTTATACCATTTAAACTACAACAATTTTGTTTGCAAAGTCATCATGATTCACAGCCTTTCATTAAAAATCAGTAAGTACATAAACTGACCATAGACAAATGCCTTTTTATATATATATTGTAGTGCCGATGTGTATTACGATATTTAGTTTAGGAAATTTAAAATTTCCCTTAAAGCTTAACTCGAGTAGCCTTTACGTCACTATATGTGGTAAAGTTTGTAAAAGTGCACTTAAAATGGATTGTACCAAAAGATATATAATTTTATAATAAAGTGTTAGAAGTTATTATGAAGTGTCGGCGAAAAACAAATTTTGTAAGACGTTACAAGGATGTCGACCGGAGATATTGGATTGTAATAAATATACCATTTTAACATTATCTATTTGTTTTATTCTTACTAATACATCTGAGTACTTATGTGGCCCTAGGCCGTATTTGAGAGGTACCTTGTGTACTTCTCTCTTGGTGTGTGTGTTTGTCTGTTGCTCATGTGTGCGTGTGCTCATCATGCAAGGAAACTACGATAAAAATTAAAATGGAAAACAGGATTTCAACAAATAATCAACTACCAAATGTCAGGGGAGGGCTATGTCCAGAAGTGAACATCTTTCGGCTGAAAAGAAGAAAAACAGTCATATACTATAATTCCTAGAGCCCGGTTGCAGCGCCACCTACTGGGTCCAACCTTAAATCTAAACTTTCTGGATACTTAATCAAACATAAAAACTCAACTCAAACTAAATGGTCCAACGACTTTGGTCCGCGCCATTCACACGTTCGAAAAATTTGAATAAATTTCAATAATATCCCACCAAAAACTTTTTCATGTGTTGCCAAGTGTACGCCATATGGGTGTGCGTTACCCCAGCAAAATAATGTCGAAAATGGTCATTTAAACTTTATAGATAATTAGTTGCTCCCCTTCTGTAATTGTTAAGCACATTTTTAAATTTGTTTCACTTAAACTTTTTTAGTTATTTCAAAAAAACATTTCCTGCTGGGGTAACGTTTGAAACGTTACCGCAGCCAGACATTTTCTTTTTTAATTGTAATATTGAAATAAATTTTAGCTAAATAATTAGTTATCTGGACTAGGTAAATGTTACAACTTATTTGGTATTTGTATTTTCTTCGGCTGCGAAGTTATTCGAAATCCTGCTGGAGTAACGTTTGTGGGTTTGCTGGATCTCTGAAACGGGTAAGCGGATTGTAACCATCTTTTGTACATAACTTCTTAAGGATTAGTTTTAATTTGTTCGACAATAAAATAACAATAATAATGGACCGTTTAAAAATTATTTAGGTAAGTATGAAAACACTTCAATACGTCCTAACACTTTAAATAAGACCTCTAAAGACTTACTTGAAACGTTATTCTATTGCTTGTAACTACCTTCAAATGTATACGAATTTTCGTAAGAATACTGTAAGTGACTAAAAAGTTATGATGAAATGTAGCTCTCCACGTTCACGATCACAATGTGTGCGGCCTTTTTTGGCCACCGATAAACCTGTGTGTGGATATATAAACTGAATGTTATGCCAATAATTAGTTGTTTAGTTCAGTTGTCTACCTGTAAAATTTCAGCGTAGTACATATAATAATTTACGAGATAATTAAATAAAAGTCATTAGAAGGTGCAAGACCGTGGTAATCCGACCATGTTTAGGTGGTTACAAAAAAGCGATCACCCAGTACATTGCGCTGTCTTTTAAAATGTTTAGTGTAATACACCTTACGATTTCGGTACAGTTGCGTACAGTGTTAAATACATTCAATATTTATTCATTATTATTACCTATTATTTATTTTGTTTTTTTCCCTAATTGATCTTAAGCACTAGTTTCTTTACTTAAAATTTCTTTAGTCTTTTTTACTACCGGAGCTACAATCAACAGAAAATCTGCACTGGTCCGCTAAAATTATAAATATGTAGATACATGTCTGAACGATTCACCTGACTGCAATAAATCGAAAATTTAAACCAATAAGAAATCGTTTCATTTCTTTGATTTTTTTTAGTAAAGAAATAACACTAAAGTAATTGTATTTTATTTTGGGGTATATAGAGCTTAGACTTGAATGCATCAAAATATTTAAAGCAACAAGTCATCTACAATAAGTTAAAATAGACCGAATAGTAGAAGAATACAGTTGTAAATTAGAATGCATCAACATTGCATCGCCCAACAGTCGTATACCTCGTAAGAGTAGGAAATATTGTTCTGTGGTCTATACCGAGAACCGAGAATTATCTATACCTATGTACCTACCGTTAAGCGTTGAGCCCGTGACTGTTGATTTCTGTTAAAAACGAACAGTTGTTGAATGATATTTTGATATAATAACGGTAATTTAATTTATCGAGTGAAAGTGATACATTTTTATAGATACAATTATTGGTCAGATAATATTTGTCAATCAAGAATCGCTGATAATACACCCTTCGCTAGAACGCGGGAGGGGAGGGGCGAAGGGATACTTCATTGTTTGCAATTTGCATCTAGTGCACTAAACTTGACCCTTAGGCAGATAATATACGTGTTGTAAAGTACGTGTGCGCTTCCGCTTTCTATTTTTGCAAATATTTATCGTATTCTTGAGAGTTCTTCAATATGTGTGTACCTAATTACTAATAATAGGCAATAATGCTAATTCGATTCAATTTAAGTAATTGTCAATTCTTGTCTTAGGATATTAATTACTAATGCTAATATTGAAATTTCGTTCAGGGTGAACAAATTAAAAACGATCATAACTTTTAGGTAGGTATATCACTTATTACTAATTTTACATAAATAATTTATTTTATTATAATTTATCTCACCGCGATTTTGTGATCAAATATTTTATTTTCTCCAACATTATTACAGAAATAATGCAATACAGAGTTTGTTCGCGATATGCTAGCTTAAGTCGATACATCACTTAAAAAAATCCCCATCTATTCACAAAATACCTATTTACAACGCATACGTTACACTCTTCAAAACTTATCATTTCATTTCATTTCATATTTCTTAAATTACCTATACCTACCCTAAAATTAAACTTCAATTAACAAATACTACGCAGGTACCAATTCTATGAACAACTATAAACAATTCACCTAAACATTACGAGAAAACAAAAGCATTCAAAACAATACCTAATCTCCCGGCTGATTACTAATTATGCAATAAACAATCCTAAATAAAAAATATTTAAAAAACATGTAGTTTTTTGTAACACTTATGTACATATCCGTAGTAAACTTGCAAATAATATCCTACATATTTTAAAAGCCAGCACAATGTACTGGGTGATCGCTTTTTTTGTAACCACCTAAACATGGTCGGGTTACCACGGTCTTGCACCTTCTAATGACTTTTATTTAATTATCTCGTAAATTATTATATGTACTACGCTGAAATTTTACAGGTAGACAACTGAACTAAACAACTAATTATTGGCATAACATTCAGTTTATATATCCACACACAGGTTTATCGGTGGCCAAAAAAGGCCGCACACATTGTGATCGTGAACGTGGAGAGCTACATTTTATCATAACTTTTTAGTCACTTACAGTATTCTTACGAAAATTCGTATACATTTGAAGGTAGTTACAAGCAATAGAATAACGTTTCAAGTAAGTCTTTAGAGGTCTTATTTAAAGTGTTAGGACGTATTGAAGTGTTTTCATACTTACCTAAATAATTTTTAAACGGTCCATTATTATTGTTATTTTATTGTCGAACAAATTAAAACTAATCCTTAAGAAGTTATGTACAAAAGATGGTTACAATCCGCTTACCCGTTTCAGAGATCCAGCAAACCCACAAACGTTACTCCAGCAGGATTTCGAATAACTTCGCAGCCGAAGAAAATACAAATACCAAATAAGTTGTAACATTTACCTAGTCCAGATAACTAATTATTTAGCTAAAATTTATTTCAATATTACAATTAAAAAAGAAAATGTCTGGCTGCGGTAACGTTTCAAACGTTACCCCAGCAGGAAATGTTTTTTTGAAATAACTAAAAAAGTTTAAGTGAAACAAATTTAAAAATGTGCTTAACAATTACAGAAGGAGAGCAACTAATTATCTATAAAGTTTAAATGACCATTTTCGACATTATTTTGCTGGGGTAACGCACACGCCATATGGTCTCGCCATATGGCTTGTACTATCAAAAAGTTATCAGATCTCATGTGAGCCAAGCTTCTAACTGTACAAGCTTTAATTCTTCAAGCCCTAACTTTAAACCCTAGTGAAAATTTGTGGCTTGGCCGTTTCGTTAGTGCAAGAACTTCTGTATAACAGAAAGGTAATGTCAAAATAAGTGTTTTTCATGCTTGCACGGTTATTTGTACGATACCTATGCCTAAAAAACAGTTTATTTTTTGTCCGTCTGTTTGTTCCGGTTAATCTTCTAAACGGCTGGACTGATTTTGATAATATTTTACTACCAGGTAGAAATGCCCGTCCAGTGTACTAGTAGCCGGGGAAACTTTTCTTTGTTTTTTCCTGTGCGGAAATCCCCTCGGATACCACCCATTGGTCGGATGGTTATGTCGGACTACCAAAAACCGCACGCCGTCTCGGGTAGGTACCAGTTGCCGGGGAACCAGGTGTACCCTAGAAAGGAAATCCCTGGTACTCTGACGGATCCCGGGCCATCTACGGCTTACAGTTGGCCCCCGCGTGTGCGAAGACTACGGTGTCCCCGCTCAGAACCGCGTCGAGCATAACTTGCTCGCAGAAGGAAGTGACGGATTATCATCAGCTGTTGCTCTGTAATTAAGCCGCAATCATGGGACCAAGCAACAGAACTTAGAGTCCATAAAATAAAAGTTTTACTTCAGAAAAAAATATTAAAAGATATTTGATTCAATAATCTGGGCTGAATTTCAAATTATTAGTGTGGTATTTAACCTTTGAATCATCGTGTCGTACACGGCCGGTTTATTTATTTTGAGTCTTCGACAAAGAATATTTACATAATAATATCACACAATATAAAGGACATTTATATTGTCATGTACTCCCTCAACTACTGGAGACAGCATACACAGCACTTCATATTATGTACAAAAAATAGGAATAAATTACAAGAACTTAAATCTTACACAAATTAAAAAAAAAAGTAAATTACATTAAACAATTAACAAGGTGAAAACAGTTTATTTATATGATAGAGAGGCAGATGAGCAGACGGGTCACCTGGTGGAAAGGGACCATCGCCGCCCATGAGCGTCTGCAACTCATCAGTCACAAACGCGTTGCCGGCCTTTTACGAAGGAGTGCGCTCTTTACTTGAAGTTTATGAACCTTTATAATTATGTTTTTACAAAAGAACTTAATAATATTTACCAGACAAATAGAGATATGGAATCAAAAGCTAGACAATTTTTCTCTTAAGTTTTTTCTGTACGTTAAATAAGATTTAATAAGATCCATATTCATTGTTTTGTATAAGATATCATATTGTTATTGCCTACTGATTCTCGGCATACTAGCATTATGTCCAAGATTTGATTTGGCTGTAGCTACCGAAAGTAGTTGGTAGTGGTATGAGTGGTTTGTAAAACGCAATCTTAGAATGTAAAATCTCCACCACAGATTTCGCCACATCTTATTCCGTTTCAAGTCTTTTTTTTCACATATATCGCGGCACAAATCAATAGAATAATGTATCTTCGTAAGTGATATGCTAAAATAGTTTGTATATAACCCGTATAAACGCATACTTATGAATGTTGTAAATTATAGTAAGTTACGCCATGCATACATACGCATGTATGCCAATAAATTATAATTATTAACAAATTCATTCAAAGTAAACTAAACATTCTTTCAGGTATGTATGGGTATTCTAGTTAGAGTAGTCATCTCTAAAAACAAAAGTAAAAAGGAAAAGTCTATGGTATACGATAAACTATAGAACTTCTGTGTGACAGCAGAAAAATGTTACTAGCTAACACGGATATATTTACTGCTACGCTTCAAAAAACTGTTTTATAAACCACATAACTGTAACGTCTGTAACAATATCGAACGAAGGTTAGGGTATAAGTACTCTAACCGTAGCAGCAAAGTTTTAACACTCCAGGAAATCACTAAAAAAAAATAGAATCTTTCGGACAACTGCACTGCAGAGAATGAAAACTTGAAACAAACGCTATGTCAACCTATCTGGCCACCGTGATATCTAAGGAGAAGCCTATGTCCAGCAGTGGACAACTAAAGGCTGTTGATGATGATGTATATAAGATTTTATAAAAAATCAAATTTGTAGTCCTTGTATTTGAAGTAATAAACAACATAGTGGAACAAAAAACGAGTGTGCTTTAGACCACACGACTGAAGTAAAACTACTTGGCTATGAGAGAAAGAGAGAAAGAAAATGTGTGCTCGCATCTCCCTTTCCCCTATAGTAATATGCGAAACGTAAGCTCTCTCTTTCAATCTTAACTAACCTATATCTCCCTCTCAACCTCCGTTCGACTCGCTCGATCACACTTTTCGCTCTCGACACGCATTCACGAGCTTACTGAGTAAAGAAATTTTACTTCAAAAATATTTTTCTGTAAAATCATTTCCAAAAAACTGAAATACAACTTATTACTACTTATTTAGCAGATTTAAATTTACAAAATAGCACATGGCAACACCAAAATAGCACTGTGGCAAACGTCAGACGATGTCGAGTGTAAGAAAAATTAATTTGACGACGTTTTGTGTTAATAATTATGTGAATGATGAGATGAAAGTGTAGATAAATGTTAGTATAGTGTTCAATAGTGATTATGGCGCATAGTGGTGGTGTTTTAAGTTCAGATATATCACGGAGGAACCCACAAGATGAGTATGAACTCATACAGAGGATCGGATCGGGCACCTACGGCGATGTATACAAGGTAGGGGGCCTTTCTAAACTGCAATTATCTTTTTTACCTGTATATTAAACATAAAAAGGTACGAAAACAATACTATGTGGGGTGTTCCCACCCTTAAAATGACAGTTTACATCTTTCTCATGATACGGAATAAGTTTTGTGGTGAAAAAAATTGTAGTTATAAAGAGATTCGGTTTTAAAACAGTTTTTATAGTGATGTATTGTTTATAACGCAATATTTGCTATAAAACACGTGTTTGTAATGACCTTGAGCGCAGGACAAGACGGGTTTACTAATTAGTGGAGTGCTTTGAACACACCCAGTGTTCAAAGTTATTCTAAACACATAACATGTCTTTGTCTGTCTAATGCCTCATTGTGTTTAATTACCGAAGAAGATTACAAGTGATTATATCAACAAATAGATATATCCACAATTTAAATAACAAATAATTGTTATAATTACACAGTATGTAAATGTAATGATCATAATTTCAACATTGTTTGGTCAAATTTTTCTGTCACAGTCAATAATAAGATAACAGTTATATAATTAGAAATATACAAAAAAATATGTATTTCCTTCTTGAATAACTATATTTTTCTTTTATTGTCACTGATAGTTCAGTAGGTAAATAGTAAAACTACTGTAAAATAAAGTGGAAAATCTGAAAAACAAAATATTTATATCTTTATTTTGCAATTGAAACTTAATCATCAAGGAGTTTTTACAAATTCAACTATTATGTATACTAAATACTAATACAACTTTATATGAGAGTATTATTTGTCACAAAAATTGCTATTTATGCAATTATTACAATAAAATTATTGTTTAATATATAATTCAATTTTCAACTCTCCCGTCACCACAGCCTAATGGAAATAATTTTCTTCACTCCCAAAGGTATTACCTACTACCTCATTAGTTTAATTTTTTATTGAACATTGCTGACAAATGAGCACATGAGCTTCTTTGGTAAGCTGTAAACAGTACTAAACAGCCCTTAAATCATTATTTGTGTCATTTAAACAGAACAATATGTTTTTTTGTAAACCCATATGTCTAAAAAACAATTTATGGACTAATATCGGATCATACTGTTTTTATTTACAATAAAAATTTATAAAAGACGACGTTTTAAAGCAACAATATTCACATAATCTCTACACTATTTCTAGCCAATGTAAATTGAAGAATTTTAATTGTCGTCACCTCTCAATTGTTATAACTATAATGGCAATATAGTAATCATTGTCAGTAAATGCAACTGCATGGATAGCGTAGTAGTTTAAGCGGTCACTACTAAGCTGAGGCTTGTGGGTACGATCCCCACATGGGACCACACTTCGTGTGATCCACAAATTATTGTTCTGAGCTTTGATGTTCTTGGTGTCCGTCTCATGTATGTTGTAAAGTCCCCTGCGACACAGGATATATTCCGCATGCAGGAGTTGTCTTTAAAAAAAAACCTGTAGGCTACTGTATACTATATTGTCTGCAACTCCAACTGAATTAGATATTATTATACACAGTGTCTTAAACAAAAAATACATTATTATAATTAACCTGATTTATACTAAAATACTTGTGTTTGAAGCGAGGTCAGTGTTAAATACTTCCTTAATTACAAAGTTTTATTAACTATTTTGAGCTGAGTGTGGTTAGAATGAATCAATCTCAATTCAATTCCATTGACTTATTCCATAGTTTTCGATAACTCAGGTAAGAATAACTTGAAACATTTCACTCATGACAATGTAATCCCTATCTAGGAAGAACCTGTACTATTGTAAACAGACTGCTGATAAACATACTTATAAATTTCTAAATACAAACATAATTATATTATAGATTTATTATACTGACACACAGAACAATGATATAACAGTTAATTTTAAAGGAATTCTAATAAGAAAATACAAATAGGTAAATTATTTAAATTTATTTCCAAAGGTGATTATTAAAGTTAATAATTTTAAGTATCTATGTTATCTACTTAAAAATGCAAAAACAAAATGATATAACCATTTGAGCTACCTAGAAATAATAATGACATTCCTCTCTACTGTTTGATTTGGTAATCGTTTCAGGTTTTTATTCGGGAGTTTTATTTTGGGTGTTTAGTCTCTTCTCTGGTTATGGAAGTCCAACACATCTGCAGTTTGAACCCAACCTTATGGTCTCAATCCCGATGCTTCAATGATTCTGTTACTGCTACATCACATAATTTTCTTTGATCAATAGATTGGTTCTCTTTGATGTGAAGCATTTACGTGGCTGGTCAGACTGGCTGTTGTTGTGGCGTTAGGTCACCACGGCATACATTGCCAAGTTATGTGTTCGTATTTGTAACATGTAATGCGGTGTGTATTATTGTATCTGTGTGTGTTAGTTCCTTTTATAATCTATCCATTACTAGCTTTTGCCTGTTGCTCCGGCCGGTTGCTGCATGTCGGTTAACGCGGTAAAAAGTAGCCTGTATCCTTTCTCAAGAATCAAACTATATCTATACCAAATTTCATCTAAATCTTTTTAACAGTTTAAGAGGTAACAGACAGCCTGCCAGACAAACTTACCACTTTTAATATTAGTATTTAGTTTTGCAAATTTTTTATTTTTTTATGTGAGTGGGGGCAGACGAGCAGACCTGCAACCTGATGGAAAGTAAAAATAAATAAATTAATTAAGTAAATAAATTAATTTCGATGTTTCACATCTGCCTGAGGTCCAACATCTGCTCATTTTTTGTCACTTACTTACAAAATTTTCTTGTTAAAGGTACTAATAACACGATTATTGCTTTAATAGGACCGTGAATGTTACTTTAGTAAGCGATGTACATACTACGGGTTTTGCTTAGGTTCAGAAGCACTCTCATTACAATCATGGTTATGATGCAATGCTTGTACTTGTAGAAGGAAGCTTCACATTCATATCATAACAATTCCTCTTGCACATGTCATGTGTTGAGTAACTTTGCTTAGTAAACTTGTGGTACAGAAAATTAATGCCTGGTATGAATAACATGCTACCTTGTAAGTAATCTTTGAAGGGAAGTCCAGACGGCGAATTATAAAAAATTAAAGTATTACTAAAACTAGCATATTACCGATTCAATTTTCGGTTACAATACGATATAATCACATTACAGTCAACGTTTGATGTCTAATACTTTACTACGAAAATACCTTTTATGACAGTTGTGAGATCGAACGTTGATCGGAACTGAATTGAGACCGAACTTTTATTAAGAGAATTGGCCTTGATCTACTGCTTTGATTGTAATAAAGTTGATATTTTGTGTAGAGCTATGGTTAGGCATAAATGGGTCAGCTCGACCGAATTTAAACAAAAATGTAACTTAAAAGACAACTCCCGCATTAGGAATATATATCCTACTAGCTGACCCGCACAACTTCGTCTGCGTCTCTCAATAGTAATAAATTTTCTCCGTTTTTGAAACATTCTTCATTGGTGCTCCGCTCCTATTGGTCTTAGCGTGATGATATATAGCCTATAGCCTTCCTCGATAAATGGGCTATCTAACACTGAAAGAATTTTTCAAATCGGACCAGTAGTTCCTGAGATTAGCGCGTTCAAACAAACAAACAAACAAACAAACTCTTCAGCTTTATAATATTAGTAAAGATGTCGCAACGGACACAAAACAACAATTTGTGTATCACATAAATTAACGCCGTAAGAAGCGGCGTGGCGACCGCTTAAACCTCTACGCGATCCGTGCAGGCAGAATTGATACCATTGCCTCACAGAACTGAGTGCGTGAGGTTACTGGAGCCTGGGGGAGGTATTCAAAGGGCGGTACTTGTGGTTTTGAGTTCAGGTGTCAGTTTCGTGTATGTTTGTAAAGTCCCCCGCGACACAGGATATGTTCCTACTGCGTGAGTTGTCTTAAAAAATAATAATTTTATACAATCATTTCCCATAAAGACATTGACACACACACACACACAGCAAAAAATCCATAACCACATAATATTGAATAAAGGTAGCTTTTGTTTTAACGAACAATTCATATCTTTACATTGCATAGCCAAATTTGTTGGCTTGAGTCAGTATTATATATCACTAGCTTTTTCCCGCGGTTCCGCCCGCGTAAATGTCGGTTATTGCGGTTATATTAAAGTAGCATATGTGTTTCCTCAAGAATCAAAGGATGAGAATCAAAAGATGGAGATATCCTACCAAATTTCACCTAAACCCCCTTAAAGTATGATTTCTAGGAAAAAAACTACCTTACGTCCTTTTTCGGTACTCGAACTATCTCTATGCCAAAGGTACAGCTGTTTAAGCGTGAAGACGTAACAGACAGACAGACACACTTTCTCATTTATAATGTTAGTATGGATTGAAACCATATACCACATCAGTTGCTTATTGTACAAACAATTATTTGCATTGAATAGTAATCTAGATTTGTACAATAGCTGTTGGGAACAAAACTGTGTTCAATTAACTAGTGTCATATTTATATAGTGGTGAATATTTAGGACGTAGGGTAGGTGGATCTTGGCAATGGTTTCACATAGACAGCAATTAGATTCGTGGAGTATTTCCTTGTTGGTAGGATTCTAGGGGAAAGACTCATTACTGATCCCTGCTTCGTCTCGTCCATATGGTGACGGATTAAGTATAAAGAGTGTCACCATCCCTATTCAGCTCGTGGATGACCTAAGAGCCGATTATTTCTTAGTAGGCTCTTACCACATGCAAACTCTGCAGAACAACAACACTGCAAAGAGAAAGAAAACTTAAAACAAACCCTGTACTAACCCGTCCGGCTAGCGTGGTATAGTAGGCCTAAACCTCTTTAGTAGTACGCCTATCTCCAGCAGTGGAATATTAGTCTGTTGATGATGATCTCTGTTACACCTTCAAGTAAACTGAAGTATTTTAGGTCATGTTCAGATGACATAGACTAAGATATTCTGTATTTACGTCAATTATGATCGAATGCAGAACTCAAACTGAACTGTGACAATGCATGTTGAATGCA